TGTGTGTGTGTGTGTGTGTGTGTGTGTGTAATGTTTAGGATTTGAGTTAATGGAAATCTTTACAAAAGCAGATGTCTCACTTTTCTCCCAAGGAATGACTGGTTTTCAACTGTCAACCTAGAGGTTAGCAGTCCAATGCTTATTCAAACAGTGCCAACTGACAGCACTGAAGAAGAAAATATTAGCAAACCTTTACTTCTAACCACCAAAAATTGGGAAACTTTAAATGTCTCTCAACTGAAAAATGGATAAACAAACTGTAAGACAGCAATTTAGTGGAATACTAAAAAGACGAATGCTTCCAAGTTGATTCTGACTCCTGAAGATCCAGTGTGGGTAAGTCGGGGGCAGACCCATGCTCTACAATACCAAAACCAAACTCACTGCCATGCTGACTCACAGTAACCCTGAAAACTCTGTGGGCTTCTAAGACTTTAAATCTTGACAGGAGTTGAAAACCTATCTTTCTCCCAGTAAGACGCTGGTGGTCTCAAACTGTTAACCTTGAGTATTGCAGCCCACCATGTAAGCACTCCACCACCTGGGCTCCTCGCTCCATACATAGGTGGCTGATTTTTTCAGTACGACACCAACTATTTCTTCTAAAGCACCTCTTTGGACTTAAACCACCAATCTTTCAGTTGGCAGAGTATGTTAAATGATTATACCACCTTGGAACTCTACAGTGGAAGGCCAGCCCCAGGTTACAACATATTCAAGACAAGACCAACTACACCTAATGAGCACCTTTTTTTTCCCCTTTCCTCACTTTGATACATCTTACTAATATTAATTCAAGGGTACTTCAAAGCTTCATGGAAAAATTCTATCACCTTTTAACTCTATTTTCTTTAAACTTTTTGAAGCCCCTCACACAAAAATTATACTGTATACACAATTGGCAGACATTACAATTCTGACTTGACTGTTAAGGCATCAACAAACAAGAACTGGACTTATAAAGGTCAATAAGAGAAGAAAAAAATAGCTACCTGACTCTGTCAGAGCCTACTTACTAGGTAGTCAACAGAACAGTACGCTGTTACGTTACCACCAGCCCCCCCAAATTTAAACAATGTACCACCAGCGCTTCTTACAATAGAACACTATTCTAAAATAAAGAAGGAACTGATAACCTAACATGAATGGATCTCAGGTGCACTGTACTAAATGATGGAAAGGTAAGCCCATAGGTGCTAACCAACACTGTAGTTTCCAGTCCATCCTAAGGTGCCTTTAAAAAAAAGCCTGGTGATTTTCTTTAGAAAAATCAACCCAGGACATCATTAGGGTGCAGTTTTCATGGGGTCACCATGAGTCAGAATCAACTCAGTTAACATGTTCTATGAATTCCATTTATATGGCATTGTGGAAAAGGAGATGAGCCAGTCAGGGTGCGATGTAACAATGATGAGAAATACAACCTTCCTCTAGTTCCTAAAGGTTTCCTCCCCGCTCCCACTACCAT